AGCAGCAGCTGCGGCTGCTTAGCAGCGAGAGAGAGGCAAGTGCTTCAGTATAGGGAACTGTCTCTGTTCGAGGAAATGCTGTTACATGTGTCTCCTTGTGTGTCTCTTATGCGTCTCCGTATGTGTCTCCGTATATCTTCTACACTGTATCCTAAAGCTTCTCTTTATGTGTCTCCTATTCTGATTCCTATGGTGTCTCCTAAAGTGTCTCCTTATGTGTCCCCTTATGTGTCTCCTGAAGCCTCTCCTAAACTGTGTCCTTAAGTATCTGCTTATGTGTCTCCTAAGGTATCTCCTAGAGTGTCTCCTTATGTCTCTTAGAGCGTCTCCTAGACTGTCTCCTTATGAATCTTGAAGTGTCTGTCTCCTAGAGTGTCTCCTCAATCTCTTAAAGTGTCTCTTAAGGTGTCTCCTTATGTCTCGCAGCACCTTAAAGAGGCCCTGAAGAGAAAACATGTTGCAGAGATGAAGCTGCGTGCCCATGTGGCGTCTCTCTCCGCAGTAAACGAACAGCTGCAGGCAGAGGTGAGGGGCAGCAGCAGCAAAAGTGTCTCCTTTCTGCAGCAAGACGCTGCAGAAAGGAGACACCAGCAGCACGCAAGAACAACACATCCTCAACTTCAAAGACCCTAATGCTGCTGTTGCTGCTGCTGCTGCTGCTGCTGCTGTTGCTGCTGCGGTACAGGCCTCAACACTAATGGACTTTCATAGACTCGCTGAGGCGCATGGGCCCGAAGCAGCAGAAAAGCTGCTTCTGCAACAGGTGCGTCCCCTGCAGCAGCAGCAGCAACAACAACAGTAGCAGCAGCAGCTGCTGCTGCTGTTTTCATGCTTGTAGATGCCCCTCTCCTATCCCCTACGGGATGTCTCGGAGACAGCGAGGAGACTGCTACAGGTATATCGATTGAGGGGCCTTCGCTGTTTGTTTGCTGCTTGTGCATTTGCAGCTGAGGCAGCAAACAGAAAGACAAAACACCGAACTCAAAGACATGCAGCGGCTACTGACAAATAGAGAGGCTCAAGTGTCTTCGCTGAAGGTAATTGTAGCAGCAGGAGGCAGCACTCAGCAGTCTCCCCAACAGATAACATAACTGTCTCCTTCCCCCCTTGAACAAACATTGGGTATCCTTGCACCTTCATTATTGCTGCTGCTGCTGCTGCTATTGCTACTGCTGCTGCTTCTGCTGCTGTGGTGTTGCAGTGCGAGGTGGCGCTGTGCCGGAAGGCCCTGGGCTTCCTAAACGCCCTTCTGCAGGCGCAGGGGCCCCCTGACGTGGGGGCCCCTCAGCTGGGGCCCCCGCATCAGGAGCCCCTTCAGCTGGGGCCCCCTCAGCAGGGGCCCCTTCAGCTAGGGCCCCCCGAACCCATGTGTCTCCCCCCTGTAAAAGAAGATCGCACAACGCAGACGGAGGCCCCGCAGAGTCCCCCGAAGCCCTTGAGCTCAGCAGCAAAGCGGTGCGTCTGCTCAGTATGGCGGCAGGAGACTGTCTCCAAGTGGCTGTGCGCGCGACCTTGGGGGGCCCCCGTAGGGGGCCCCACCCGGAGCTGCACTTAGAACGCTGCTCTGCCTCTAGGGCTCAGAGGCTGCACTGATGCCCTTGAGATATTCCTCCTGACGGTTGGGGCCTTGCTTTGCATGCGTGTGTCTTTGCTGCAGAGACTCCGCGCCACACCAACAGGTAACACACAAAGGGTCCCTCAGAGTCTTGCTTAGGGGGCCCCCTAAGATCTTCGTTAGGGGGGCCCCCAGGGTCTTCCTTAGGGGCCCCCACAAGTAGCAGCTGAGCCCTTAGAATGCAGCGCTGTGCCTGTGTAGGGCTTTGAGTGGTTGGAGCTCCCTAGACAGCTGAGAGATATCAGCAGCACAGCAGCCTTCTTTCTTGTGTTTCTCCTGTCTCCTTCGGCAGACCCCACCGTCTGCTGCAGGTCGACGCAGCAGCAGCGAGGGCCCCGCGCTGCCTGAGGAAGAGAGGGATGTGTCTCTTGAAGGCCGTCGCCAGTAAGGCTTTTGTCTCCTTTACGCTCGCCGTCCCCACAGTAGATCCGATAGTGTCTCCTTACTGAAGCTGCAGTGTCTCCCTTTACACATATAGTGCTACGCTGCAGTGCTCTGGTGTCTCTGCAGGTCTTCTAAGTCCCCTTCAAAGACAGAAGGCCCTTCTCGAGAGGCTAGGAAGACAGTGGAGGTTGCGGCTGTGCAAGAGGAGACACCTCAGCTGCTGCCAGCGGAATCCCCAGCAGCAAACTCAGAAAGAGACACTCATCAAGCCCCTATGCCTCGAGGTGTAGGGCCTGTTATGAGATTTACTGTGGGGCCCTCGACGGGGTATGAACACAAGAGAGACGACGCCGTTGACAGCGCAGTCGCTGCCCTCAGCAACGCAAGGTAAGGAGACGCTTGATGGGTCTTAAGAGACACCTGCATGGGGACAGGGAGACTGCGGGGGGACTCCTGCATGCACTATGCATGCAGCTGTCTCCTCAAGCTCCCCAAGTGTATGCAGCTGTCTCTCCACTCCCTCTGTGCTGTCCCTTCCTTGTCTCTGTCTCCTTCGCCCCTCACTCCCCAACGCATAGGGTAGCAGAGCCTGCGTTGATGAGACTGGAGAGGAGGAGACAGTTTGAAGGCCTGAAGAAGGAGACAGTATAAATGCCTAAGGGGCTTATGGGGGTGGGGCATATTGGGGCCCTGGGCGCTGCTTGTTTATACTGCAGCAAAGAAAGAGACTTCTTGTGTGTCGCTGTCTCCTCCTCAGGCTAAACAAAGTGCTCTTTACTCGCATTTGCAGAGGCGTTTATCTGTACGGACACCTCGCAGTGGCTCTACGCCTCAGCCCTTCAGGAGAACTACGTGTCTCCTTTGAGGGCAGAGACTATACAGCAAAAGACTTCATACACAGCTTCGAAGTAAGCGCTCTCATAATAAGGCCCCCAAGACACCTGCATGCGTACACGAGGAATGGAGGGACACCCGCAGCCAAAGGGGTCCCTGGTGGAGACGCTTGCATGCACACCGCGGGGGGCTTTAAGGAGACACACCCATGCAGACGGAGGGACTTGGAGGGACCCCTTGTGGGGCCCACCGTGCTGCCCCCGAAGGTGTCTCCTCAGCTGCAGCAGCAGCAGTAGCAGCAGCAGCAGCGGGGGTTGTGAGGCCGGTGCCTGGACGTTGGCGAATCTGTCAGTCCCCTAGCGTCGCTTCTCGTGTTTGCTGTTTAAAGTGTCTCCTTAGGTCTCCTTGTGTCTCTTTATGTCTCCGTTTGGTCTTAGGAGGAGGAGTTCCGCTACCTGAAGAAGAAGCAAAAGGAGTCGGGGCGCGCGGTGTCTCTTGAGGTCTGTCCCCACAGCAACAGCAGCCCGTGTCAGCAGGAGGTGAGGAGACAGACGAAGCAGCAGAACTGTCTCCTCTCTACAAAGGGGAAAGGTGTCTCCTCTGCCCTTGACGGTAAAAAGGGGCCTCACTCTAAGCGCCGCACCACCATAGCGGCGTTGCCTGTAAACGCAGCAGGCCCTAAAGGTCTACTCCCCAGCTGCAGCAACAGCAACAGCAGCAGCAGCAGCAGCCGGCGCCCTGCCTCCAGGGCTCCTTCATGCCGTCTCCTCCCCTGCAATGTTAATTCTTCTCTCTCTAACCAGAACGGTGGGGCTGTGGGGGCCCCCCGGGGGCCCCCTGCGCATGGTTTGGTGGCTTTGGGGTACAGCAAGAGGTCCACTGGTCAGCAGTGCAGCAGCACGAAGGCCTCCAAGGCAACCTCAGCAGCAGCAGCAAAACCAGCAGCAGCCCCAGCAGCGGCCTGTCTTGTGCCTTCTGCTGCTGCTGCTGCTGCTGCTGCAGCTGCTGCTGTCTCTGGAGCCCTTCGTGGCTCAGGTCAGAGACAGCGAACGAGGGCAGCCAGCGTAATGCCTTCGCAGCCAACCAGCAGCAAGAGGGCCCCCCAGAAAGTTGGAGGGGCCCCTGGGGCCCCTGGGGGCCCTGGGGCCCCCGAGAAGGTGGTAACAGGCCGCTCGAAGCTTAGGCCTGGGTTCCGTCTTAGCTCGTCTCTGTATAGCCCTCTTTAATACGAAGTCTACAGCCTTTCTTAGGGTAAAATAAGGCTGTCTCCTTTGCTTCTTTTCTATGGGTAGGGGCCCCTACTATGCACGCAAGGCTGTCTCCTTTGCTTCTTTTCTATGGGTGGGTGCCCCTACTATGCACGCCGCAGCCTCAACAGGTAGATTAAACGACAGCTCTCTTTAGGGGAGGAGACAGAGACACAAGGGCCCCTCCTCTTCAGTTGAGCGTATACGCTGCAGCAGCCCCGTAAAGGGCTTTGGAGACAGGCCTCAGCAGCAACAAGAGCAGCAACAACAGTAGCAGCAAGTGCAGCAGCAGGTGCAGCAGCAAACAGTTTTCTTCACCGTGGAGACTGCTGTCTCTACACTGTCCCCTTGTGGCCTTATTCAAGGGGAGGGCCCCACAGGCCCCTCAGGCTGCACTTGCATGCAGCGTTTTGTTGTTTGTTGCACTGATAGGACCACTATAATATAAAAATATTAATTAATTTTGCAGAGAATGAAAACGTATCATAGGCTTTTTATCAGGAAAGAAGTAAAGGTTTATTTTTTGCAACTCATTTTATATATTTCCTACTACTATAAATATAGAAGTAAAAAAAAATATATATATATAATATATATATATATATATATATACATATATATATATATATGTATAGAAAAGAAAATAGGAGTACAGTGCATGAGGAGACAGTTGAGCTGCGCAGCTCCAGAAACAGAGTCTACAACTAATGCCTGCAACAAGAAGAGGCACGCTAACAACAGTGACACCCCTGTACAACTCCGGCTGTTAAGACTGTCTCCTTTTCTCAAAGGTGAAGTCTTAGTCTGTCTCCTTTTCTCCTAGTGAAGACTCCTCTTTTAGTTTGTCTCCTTATCTCTAAGTGAAGTCCCCTCTCTCTGTCTGTCTCCTTATCTCTAAGTGAAGTCACCTCTTTTAGTTTGTCTCCTTATCTCCAAGTGATGTCTCCTTTCTTAAATTCACCTCAGGAGTTTCGTTCTATCTCTTCCCCGCTCTGTACAGGCTTATTTATTTGTCTCCCTGTGCAACGAATATCTTCTACGGGCGTCTGTCTATCATTTATTGTCTCCTCTCCTAATCCCTCGGTATAACACAGGCTTTTAAGCCTGCAGATCTCTCTATCTCTAATTTTTTCTATCTATCTCCCTATACATATACATATATATATACATATATATATACATATATATATATATATGCATATTGTGTATATACCTATATACAGTCTCCTCCCTAAATCCCTTTGTACAACGCGGGCTGTTGATTATGTCTGTCTCTTTCTAGTTACTGTCTCCTTTCATAACTCCTCTGTATCTGGAGACAGAGAGAGAGGAAGCATGCGTTGTGCTGTCTCCTTTCTTTTTCCTCTTGTATGAGGCAGCCTTTCTGTCTGTCTCTCTTTCTCCAGTTGCATACTGTCCCCATAGTTCTTTTAGGGTCTTTAGTGTCTCCTTCCTTTAGGGGGGTTAGTGTCTTTGGGGCCTGAATGCAGGTGTCTATATATATATATATATATATATAT